GCTGTTACGTTAAACTTATATTAAAGTTTTTCTTCATTACCCATTCAAGCAGTCTCCAAGCATTATTAGTCTCAAAGTGGGTTCCTCGTCATCGAAATATCTTATGTATGTTTCCAATGCTAAATATTCCATATTCAGCTTAGTAACACATTCCTAAATGAAAGCTACAAATATCTATAAGTAGAATCAGTTATTTTTTACTTACTTAAACTATATGGCTTCTAGGTCTAAGGTTTGTTTTTTATACGGACAGTTAAACATGAAAATATTATGTATAAATATATAGATATATATAAATCCATGTGTATTATTCAGGAAAAGAGCTGGCAAAGAGTGAAGGTTAATTTTCAGTAGTTTTTCAGAAGAGACTATATTTTAGCAGAAGGGACGAATATAGCAATCACCATCACGAATATAGCAATCACCATCACAGAGATATCGGGCCTGTCAAATGCGGTTGAGCAAGGTCACATGATTTGCTTGAGCAGTATAAGGTGTTGAAAATTATAAACAACGTTAAACGAATATCAGCTGGTTTCCTTTCTCATTCTTCTTCAGTGAGTATTGAGGTTTTCTTTACTTTCGCATTCACTGTATGTATCCAGCGCTCTCTGTCGGAGGAATGGGTGTCGTTTAGCTGGAGCTGTTTCCCTACGAAGTAGGTCACGTGCTTGGGTATGTCCGAGCTTAAAGTCTGTCTTTCTGTCGCTGGAAGCTGGCGCTGTTTCTTGGCGATGTACGAGTCGAGGGGAGTGAAAGATAGGTTTGTGCAATCTGTCAGTGGAAGTAGCAATTATTGTACTTTCAATGCTAGGACACCGAGAACTTCCTGCTGAGTATGACAAAAATACTTCACCAGATGACATACAAGTTTCTGGAACCTGTAAACTTTCGCTGGAGATGCTGTCAGAGAATCCTCTATGGTGGACACTAGTGGTTAAAAATCTAGGACTAGCAATGGGTCTTCCAAGTGATTGTCCTGTTAAGTTTCGAAAACTCCCTGCTGATGATGCTCTCGGATGATGACTTTCCATGTAAGAAGAATTTCTTACAGGGAGACGATCTCTGGAGTCCATACTGTGACTTTTAAAGCCATCTTCAAATGTGAGTTTTCTGGGAGATAATCTATTCCGTGTTTTTTGTCCTTTAGATTCATCACAGACCTTGAGCTTCACTGATTTGTTAGGCAAGTACAAATCCATGGACATAGAGTCATTTGATTCATTATGCTTCTCTTTTGGGTCATGAAGCACTGCTTTAGGGGTTTCTTCAAAGGAAACATTTTCTCTGAAACTAGGAGAACGTGCTGTGCTTTCTACTGCCCCCACATCATGAGACACGTGTCGCTTCAGTATTGGTCTTGGACAGTCCATAGAAATGGCTTGACGATAAAGATGTGAAGCAGTAGTTAGAGTGCGTGGTTTAACACCAGCGACCATCATACTTCTAGAAGATCTGTCTCCTGGCGAATGGTCTGACTTGGGGACAGTAAGGGTGTCCCGATCTTTCAGAAGGGCCTCGTGCTCTTGACCTTGGGCACTATTTGGATGACTGTACAACTTTGGAAAAGAAGGTTCAGAAGGACATTTGTGAATTCCAGACTTGCCTTCTCCGAGAAGCTTGGAGGAATCAACGCTAGTTTGGAGATACTTACTGAAGTTGATTAATGCTCTAGTTACAGCAGAACGATCGTTGTTGTCATTACTTTTAGTCGCAGTAGGTTGAGCTAAGAATCGTTCCCACGATGTTTCGCTTGAACGGCCTGATGCTACTCGACTGTCTCCCTTGGCAGCATGTACCCTTGTCTTACGAAACCAAACAGGCACAATCTTAGCAGCTGTATCACGAGCTTCGAAAGTCATGACACAAGCAGCAACAATGATAAATCCCCCAATTCCCATCACAATAGGACCCAGGTATGTAAGACTCGTCAAGTGGTAATTTCGATTTTTATTAGTGACTAAAATGGTAGTATTTCCCCTTTTTTCTTCCATCTTGGAAAGGTGGTCAGAGTAAAAGCCTATTGTAGCCATTCCAGAGCCAACTAATATAAGCACCAATCCCGAGGTCAGCGCTTTGCATGCTGCCCACAAACACCTCTCTGTCACTTTCCCTCGAACCGCTGTGATACTCCAGGTTGTCCGTGCATCTGGCCGCAGATGTTTCATTCGACTTCTTTTTTTCTCTTTTTCTGACTTTACCTGTGCACAGCTGGCATCTGAGCTCCGAGACTCTTTACCGGTTTTTTTAGAAACATCAGCGAGGTTATTTTGAAGACCCTCACTATTGCTAATTTCTTTTACTTCGTCACATTTTTTCTCACTGTTTTCAGACTCGCCCTTGGCCTTTTCTGTGTGGTTCACTTTCATAGTTTGAGGTATGTCGTTAGGGGGGTCAATAACATCTGTTGCACTAGTTTCAGATAAAAGAGAATCCCCTGATTCATTAGGCAAATCAACCATATGCTTCAAATTAGTTTTATCTGTCAATGATCCACGTAATCTTCCAGGCATGTCATAATTATGTTTCACGTTTTTATCATCTGTCACGAATTCAGGAACTTTACCAGGACAATCATGGTTATATATCAAATCATTATTGTCCATCAATGCTTCATTGGTCTCAGGGAGAAAATCAACCTCACACCCCACTTTATTGTTGGTTCTCAGGAGCTCAGTAAAGCTAACAGGGGAATCAGTATTGTCACGTTTTAGGGGAACAACAATTTCATCGTGGAGGTGAAACGTATCCTTCGTAGAACTAGTGGTTATTGAAATGTCGTTTTCTTCCTTAGACGTCTCTACATTGTAGCTCTCTATAATTTTTGAAGTTTTGGCACTTTGATTCACATCTGGACCACTGGCTTGTTGTTTATGCTGGCTATTTTCCTCATATGTTTTTGGATAAACCAAATCACAGTATGATTTACCTTTACAATTAGCACCAGAGTCTGGAGAGGTCTTGTCAAGTATATTTGAAAATGTTGGGTTCTTTTCTCTCTCGGCCTTGGGACTTACATTCGTTTCCTCTCGAGATAAATCCACACGTTGACCAGCTTCCATGATAGAGGATGAATCCTGAAAGAAAAAGAAGACTTCATGTCACTCTTATATCTAAGACAGTTAACAAATATAACATGATATGTTTTCTTTTACTTCAAATCCATTTCTTACAATTGGATACCCTGTAAAAAAAACCTTCCAACATGATCATAATTGTCTAGATAATAAGTTCCGTCAGCGAATATGAATGAATGATTTTAAATTTGGTCCTTTAACCGGTATTAAATTCCTGGTGATTAGTCTTTGCAACTTAATAATGGTTACTTTCTAGATTACCTGATATTTTTGTTTCTTATTTCATTGATAGATAAACATAGATAACCTTGTATACCGCCGGATAGTAGGATTATTGTATCTGGGTTTTTAATTTTTTGATAGATAAACATAGATAACCTTGTATACCGCCGGATAGTAGGATTATTGTATCTGGGTTTTTAATTTTTTGATAGATAAACATAGATAACCTTGTATACCGCTGGATAATAGGATTATTGTATCTGGGTTTTTAATTTTTTGATAGATAACCTTGTATACCGCCGGATAGTAGGATTATTGTATCTGGGTTTTTAATTTTTTGATAGATAAACATAGATAACCTTGTATACCGCCGGATAGTAGGATTATTGTATCTGGGTTTTAATTTTTTGATAGATAAACATAGATAACCTTGTATACCGCTGGATAATAGGATTGTCGAGTCTGGGGTTTAGTGATAAAAAAAAAGAGACAGTATTGAGGCCAACATAACTTACTGCAAAGATCTTCAGCGACAGTAACGCAGTGGACGATCGATAGCTGAATGGAGTTTCTTTTATTTGTTTGACTAGACCCATTTATTTGCAGAGAAAATATGGAAGTTTTTGGAAAGCGCCCACTTCATGTACGCCACTTAAGCCTCGGCTGGTATGACAGTGAAGAAGACCAATAATAAAACCTATTACGAAAGACAGGTGTGATATTATAACGCCGGTGCGTTAAAAGTAATTATGCCTTGGTTGCTTATTTGTTCGTTTGTTTTAACGCAAATGCATATTAAGCTAACTGCTATGTCCACCGCGGGGTATCGAATCCAAAATTTTAGCGTTATAAGTCCGTAAACTTATCACTATCTAACTGGGGGACTTTTATAAAGTAACGTTAGTCAACGACTTAAGTGAAATGACTTACTATTACAAAAGTCGATTTAATTCATAAAAAGAACATCTATGTAACAGGTAACAAACGATCACGTGACCGTGAAGATTCAAATAAAATGTATATGACAATAGATTTGTCTTCTGGTCAAAAAAGCACTTTAGAATATTATAGCAAAACATTTATTTTGCTCGAAACAAGAAAAAAAGGAAAGACCTCGGATAGTTCTAATAAAAATATCTGGTCTAATCACTAAAAAGGGGGCTCGGGAAGTCATTAAAAACTAAATCTACTAGAAGAAAGGACTCGAAGGTCTTTTAAAATACTTATCTTGAATAACACATAAAAATAACAAAATTAAATCGTGAGTTATACAAAACATTTATGTTTAATACACTAAAAGCTAATAAAGGGAGGATCGGGGAGTTTTAGAAACCCATCATCTTGTTTAATACACTAAATTCACTAAGATAAGGGACTCTGAAAGATAATTAGACGTTCATCTTCTCTATTACGTGAACATGGGCTGGCTTCTCCTTACAAATTTTGTTTAATACACTAAAGCTAATAAAGGGAAGGATCGGGGAGTTTTAGAAACCCATCATCTTGTTTAATACACTAAATCCACTATGATAAGGGACTCTGAAAGATAATTAGACGTTCATCTTCTCTATTACGTGAACATGGGCTGGCTTATCCTTACAAATTTTGTTTAATACACTAAAGCTAATAAAGGGGAGGATCGGGGAGTTTTAGAAACCCATCATCTTGTTTAATACACCAAAATAAGAAATTTAAAACTTATTTTTTTAAAAGCACTCATTTTCTTTAATACAAGTAGTATGTCTGCATGACCTGTGGCCAATGAGTGGGTGGGGCATCTGGAGAAAAAGATGAATGGTAATGCCCAGAGGGGTATTCTGATCTCAGTTAATCTCAGTTGCAAGTATTTCATATACAATATTTACGATATTGTGGTCAACTTTAAGTGACAACTTCATATTATGTTTTCATTTATTCAATAATAGAAAAAAC